TGCTGATTCTTTCATAGCCAGCTTTGATTGCATGCAAAACATTTGTGCTGCTAAATGGAGACATGCTACTCTGACTGGCATCTTGCAAATAACTTTAATGGGCAACTCAACCATCCAGGTTCCAGCCAGGACAGCCCATCGAGGTCCCAGCACCCTTAATGGCGACTGCAAGATATGGTCCTTCAGGGGACACTGTTCAGTACGTTGCAATTCGTCCTTACTTCTACATAATTACTTTGAGGGTTTTGTGGTGGCTTTTGTTTCCAAAAAAGGCCACAATACATGCATGCTTACTAAGAGTTTTCCTGATAAAATACTGTAAATAGGCCTGGGTTGTTTTTTTTTCCCAGTGAATACGAGGAAAGAGGCAAAGGCAGAGTACTGCCAGATGGAGTTGGCCAGTGGTTCAGTCAGATTATCTAAAATATCTAAGTACTTTGGCAGGTTTTGAATTGAACTAATGGTGGGAATGATTCAGTCTTTTATAAAGTAAACATACTTAATTCCAGTTTACTGGGTTCAATCTTCAATCTGAGCACTCATAGGCAGACACACAGTCTTTTCTGTGTGAATGTTAGAGACTCTGTAACACTTTTTCACAAATAAGTAGGAATTTTGTATTGGTGCATTAAAAGTTGTGACATTCTTACATTTACTTGTTGACCCATCTTATAATTTAAGGCTCTTCTGAGTGACTTTGTAGGTGGTTGAATCACAGTTTTGAATTTTTATTTTATTTTAAAATTATTTTTCTAGTGAGTAAACAATAACCTTTGTGAGAAAATAACCCCATCTGCTGCACTGACATATAAAAAGCTGCCACATTATTGGGATCCTAAACTGTGACCTATCAGTTGCTGGGAGTTGGATTTGACAGCAGCTGACAATAAAGAACAGCTCTCCTGACACAGGCACCAATTTAGAGGCAGGGTGTTACCGACTCGTTGTCAGCTAATGCACCCTACTGTTACATAAATGTTATTAAAATACATATATACACAGCCCAGAGTTTTCAGAGTTTCTTAAGTGTATTTTTCTTAGCTGAAAGAATACAGAAAATCAGGTTTTATTCTTCAGTGATGCTTCTGTTATTTAAAAGAGGAGAAAACCTGGCAGTGAGCTCTGCACATAACAGGCTCTCCAACAATCTCCCCAGGAGTTCCTTACTCCCCACCGTATGTTTTTCAAATTATTTATGAATGCTGAACCACCCCTATGGCACTCATATTAATGTCTTGTCACACTGCTTGCTCTGGACAGCTGAGTTAAGAGCCTCTGCCCAAACAAGCTTGAGAGACCAGCTGGAGAATTTTGGCACATTTCTAGGTTCTCCTAAAAATAGTTTACTTAAAAAGACCCCCAACACACACACACACTAATTTTATTTATGACTGCCTAGGTCATTAGTGGATCAGACAGGTATTAGTGTCTGTCTTTGTTAGTATTAACTTCATGATATGCAGCAACTGATTTCAAAAGGGATCTTACATGAATATTCTGGCTATTTGACCAGTTTTTAATATCAAATACCTACAAAATGATCCCAAATAGTTCCTTGCCATGTGGGAGGCATTTTTAATGTGTCAAAAAAATAGGAATCACATGTTTTACTTCACTAATCTCTTATCTCTTTTCTGACATTCTCAGAATCTGCAGGGTTGCTGCATTCATTACAGGAAGAGCTGTGTCTTTAACAAATGCCAACCCTGGTAGCAATGAATACTTCCCATTTCATTCATTAATTTTACTTTACCCTGAAGTAATAGGCAATGCATAGTATTTAAAGAAACATTAGTTTTTCATAAATGGCCGTCTGCATGCTTATAAAAAATATAGCTAAA